AAATATATACAAATTAAAATACACAGTATATACGCTACACTGTCTGCAGCAACGACAGCGAGCGTTGCTGCTGCTGCTGCTGCTGCTGCTGCTGCTGCTGCAGTTGCTGCTGCAGTTGCTGCTGCCGTTGGAGCAGCTACTCCTGCTGCAGCTGTTGTTGTTCCTGCTGCAACTGCTGCTGCTGCTGCAGCAACTGCTGCTGCTGCTGCAGCTCCTCCTGTTGCTGCAGCAGCAGCAGCTGCTGCTGCTGCTGCTGCAGCTGCTGCATGCTCTTGTTTTTTTTGTTGGTGCTGGTGTATACAGCTTTTTTTGTTGATAGCTAAGGGGTCTAAGCTGTCTCTGCGGGTTTCTCCTCTCTCACTTCTGCATCTCTATGAACGTAAGTTTCTTGCTGCTCAGCTTGCTGCTGCTGCTGCTGCTGCTGCTGCTGCACTTCCTCCTGTTTCTGTTCTTCCTGCTGCTGTTCCTCCTCCTGCTGCTGCTGCTGCTGCTGCTGCTCCTGCTGCTGCTGCTGCTGTTCTTTTGCTGCTGCATCACTCAGCACCGTCACCTCTGCGCTGAGCTCAAGTGTCGGTGTTACCGCGGGTTCTTGCGGCAGGTTGAGAGCAGCAGAGGCATTTCTGGTGCAGCAGAAGAAGAAAAAGGAAAATAAAGTGGAAAAAAGAAAAGGAAAATACATCATTTTGTGTTTTTGCGTTTAAAAGGAGAAAAAAGAGGCAAAAAAAAAGAAGAAACCGAAAAAGATGAACGCCGCAGCCGGCAAGAAAGCAGAGAGAAACCGATGGATATTTGGGGGTTTCAGAACAACAGAATATAAATTTAATCAAATAAGGTTAAAATAAATAAATTAATTTCATAAATATAAAATATAAATACACTTTTCTCTCTTTTATTCTGCTGGTTTCTCTGCACCGCCGCCGTTGCTTTCTGCGTGCCGGTAGCTGCATGTACACCCCAGCAGGTCAATGAAAAAAAAAAAAAAAAAAAAAAAAAAAAAAAAAAAA